ATCTTTTGTAAATTAAGTATTCTCAGTCTATTATTTTTTGCTTGAAAGGATTGGGAAGAGTTAATGACTTTTTCCTACCTAAAAAATGGCTAAACTACATTTTCCCAGTCTCAGACTTTTAAAATACCACTTTCCCATCCAAAACACAAATTCTATTGATAATTCCCTTTAAATACAATAACATTGATTGCAAAGACAAAAATACCCCAACCAAATTTCAATCCTAATCGCTAGACACCGCAAATTAAATTTCTGCTCACGATTTTGGTCGACTCCAATGACCACAATCTGACCCTCTACCACCAAACAAATCACTAGCCATCCCTCTTCAATAGCCCTAATAATCTGGAACGTGATAGCTCTGCGATCGCCGACGACTTTGGTTTAGTCCTTTCGTTGAATGGTCGATGTCCGATGAACGGTGAACAACCAAGGTCTAGGATAATAGGATGATGGCGCTTTTAGGGATGAGGTGTCGCTAATGCTACAGGTGGCTTCAGGTGGAATTTTCGACAACCAAATTGGTCGGAATTTGACTTGGAAGCTCAACGGTCATGCAAACAAAAAACTAGTGGTGGCCAATGATTGGCGTGCTGGGTATGGTGGGAAAGTGAGGGGTTTTTGTGTGTGAATGATGGGGAAGTTGAGGGCAGAGTAGGCACTGGTCAACGACATCGAAATCATGCCAAACCGCCTAAATTGGTGGTTAGGTTCAGAAAGGTATTCGGACAAAATGACAACATGACCATTCTACCCTTCCTTTTAATTATCTTATGACCATCTTGCCCTTCTTCACAACAAAAATTACTAACAGATTTGTGTTTTGGGTGGGAAAGTGGTATTTTAAAAAGTTTGAGAGTGGGAAAGTTTCATTAAGCTATTTTTTGGTTGGGAAAAAGTCGTTTACTTGATGGGGAATTGCTAGTTCTTCCACTATCAATTTATGAAGCCGTTGCTATGGCACATAGTGAAGTCTCCGAGGAGTACTCAGTGCCATTTAAGTTTTTCTTCTATCCATATGATAAAAGAAATGTGAGTGATTGTAGCTATTTGTTAAAATTAGTATTAGAACCCAAATATAGTTAGGCTCTTGTTTTTGTTTTTGTTTTTTTTGTTTTTTTATTTTTTCATCCTCTTGGATTTTTGTCTATCCAACTTATGACATATATTGTTATTTACTTCTTTTGTAGGCTGGCTTAGGGGGGCTATCTTTTGATGAAGGGCAATTTTCAGTTTTGGGTAATGTCCTTAACCTTGAATATGTTTATATCAAAAGCCACAAGTTTTACTATTTCATTTATTTCAATTTTTTGGTATTTTGATACACAAATACACGGCAGTAGGGAGAGAAAATTTTGCCACAGATAAAAACTAAGGATGTGACTTGATCTGTAAAGCTAATTCAAGGTCAAGATCGTCTGGTTTTGCCAAATAAGAGTTGATATATTGTCTTTAACTTCCATTCCATTCCATTTTTGTTTTTTTATTTGATTTGATTTGTTGTAATTTGTATTGATTTTTTTTTTGGTGCAAGTTGTGTTGTTAGATTAAATGTTGCTATTGCAGTCCAACTTGATACATTTTTTTTAAGTAAAACCTTCCCATATTTGTTTTTTCAAGCAAATTATATCATCAAACAAATTTTACATCTAACAGGCAAAAGATGGTAATACATATGGTAAGAAAAATAAAAGAAGCATCAAATGATGAAAAAAGAGTTGCAAAGTGAAAGTAAAAGGAGAAGAAACTTATTTTAGGTGTTCATGACACTGTCTACTATAATTGTTGTGAATCATTAAAATTAGAGTAATGTTAGATATATAAAGAAATTTACAAAGATTTTAATGCACAAAGCGATGAGACAGAAAATGGATAAAAGAGTGAATATGATGAGTTTGATTTTTTGTATTCACTCTTTCATTTATTTCTTGCCACATCATTTTGTAAAAGAAATTTTTATAAATTTTTTTATATATCTAGCATTATTGTTAAAATTAACCTAATAAGTAAACCAACGTTTTTTAAAAGTAATCCTCTCAACATAAATACTTTTATTTAAATAATTTCATACGATATTTCCAGTATCTACAAATGGGAGGAGCTATGCAGTTTATAACTTCGATAAGTTTCCTCGAGGCCATTGACGATTCCCCTACATCGTATTATAACTTCAATAGTTAGTGTATTGGTGAATATTTTGTGCAATATGTTTGATATACAATCAATTTAGGTGTGAACATTCTAAAGTTTTTAAAGTGTTCCGGTTGCATCAATAATATCCCAACTCCAATAATGCAAAGCAATTCCAAAAATCAAATTCTTTCTTATGTTAGGTAAATGGATGGGTAAATTGATTTACCTAATAATATTATAATTTTTATTAGAAATAAAATATTTTTATTAATTCAATTAAAAAGATTATGAAGAAAACTTTAGGTTTAGACTCAAAAATATAAAAAAACCCTTCCACATAAACAAATATATCAATTTAAATGAGTAATTACAAGCAGTAAGGATGAACCAATAAGATTACACATGAGTTCAACCAACAATTCTAGGTTTGATTTCTCATTGACCACAAAGGTACTACCTTTGCTCATAAAATATTTGGGAGGCTACAAGGGTGGGTTGCTGTGTGATATCTTTTCCTGAGGAATAAAAAAAAAAAAAAAAAACTGTTTTTTAATTTAAAATTACACATTTTCTATACAAATATTTATAAACATACAAAGAATTGACTTGAAATAAATTAAGTAGCGTTATGGCAAGTTCTATATTTCAAATTGGCACCATTAAAAAAAAAAATCAAAATTGTCTTGCCTATTTCCATATACAAACAAAAATATCTATTGATCGCTTCTTCTTGTTTCAATTATGGCCATAAAATTATGTTATTATTATTGACCAACCACAGATATTTAAGAAATGTAGCTTTCTTTCTCACGGAGTTCGTGGGGCAGCCCATGGGTCCTCAACCTTCAACATGTGGATCTCTAATGGCCTCCAATTGTCTCTTCTAGATTAAATGGGAGGGCTTCTTCTCCCCACGGAATTTGCCTCATGAGATGGCCTCACTCTTCATGATTCAGTCAATCAATTATCGACTCGTTTTTTACTTACTTTTTTAATTTTAAAAATTTTGGTAATTGAAATTTGATTATTGATTTATTTATTATATCAAATGAAAAAAAAAAAAAATTGACGTTAATTCTAAGCAACCATTTGATAAAACTTCTATTGCAAACAGAACTGAATTGATAATTAACATTAAAAAGCAACCATTTATGATTTATCTATGTTTCATTTGTAAGCCCACTGCCTACTGATAAAAACGGTACCGTTTTACTGCCTATCAACTGTCAAGTCAACGGATTTTCATGTACAATTTTTTAATCTTGTAAATCGGCCTTTCTTACGTGGACTTCATTTCTCATCCCCAGACTCCCAAATCATCATTGAACGCCAGAACAATGATCCTTTACGCAATAACATAACTTCAAAATCTACAACCCCATGTATCAGAACCAATAATAAGCCGTGTTATGAATCTATGGATTCAATACATCAATTCCACCATCCATTATATGATCTGAAACTAAGAGCGATGTACTTCATTAACACCAAATCATCCACCTAATCACCTGGTATTCAAGCAGATATCTCTCCAAATTCCAACTTGGAGAAACAGTTCCAGTTTAGTCTTGAAATTGAGGACTCCGCGGCAACTCGGTCTCATTAATTGTATCACTCTGTCTTAACATTATGTTTTCTTTTTCTCTATCTATTCTATTGGATTTTTATCTATTCGATTTATGACCATTGTTTTAAAACCTGGATCGGAAGGCAAACATTTTGCTGTCCAGGTCACGGGTCAACCAGTCCAACCGGTTGGACCGGTCGGTTGGACTGATGATGTCAGCAATATTTTATTTTTAAAAAATTACATATTAACCCCTTAAATTTCAATATATTATAAAAATTCCCCTAAAAAAGTTTAAATTAGTGCCTAAAATTTTTATTTATTTCAAAAATGGCCCAATAAAGTTACCAATTAATCCCTAAATTTTTGATATATCTCCAAAATACCCCTATAAAATTACAAGTAACCCTCATAATTTTAAAATTTTTCAAAAACCCCCTGAGACCTAAACCAGACCGGAGAAGCTGTCGATTCCCGGTCCAACCGGTCCGACCGGCCAGTCCGGTCCGGTTTTTAAAACAGAGCTTATGACATCTTTTTATATACTTCTTCTCTAAGTTGGCTTAGGGGGATTATATTTCAATGAAGGGCAATTATCAGTTCTAGATAACATCCTTAACCTTTAATATGTTTATATCAAAAGCCATAAGTTTTATAATTTCATTTATTTCAATTTTGTGGTATTTTGATATACAGATACACAACAGTAGGGAGAAAAATTCTGCCACAGATAAAAACTATGGATGTAATTCGATCCGCAAAACTAATTCAAGGTCAAAATTGCCTTGTTTTGCCAAATCAGAGTTGATATGTTCTTTTACAGAATTAAGTTTCATCTTTCATTCCATTTTTGTTTTGTTCTTTTATTTGGTTTGTTGTAATTTGTATTGATTTTCTTGGTGTAAGCTGTGTTGCTAGATTAAATGTTGTTTGTATCCGTTTGACCATCTTTGGCGATTGTATACTGACTCCAAACACTTTCAATAGTAAAACCTTCGCATATTTGTTTTTTCATAATAGTCAATTAAGGAAAACACACATATTTGTTTCTTCACATACTCATAGTCCAGTGAATTAAAGAAAACATATCGTTAAACAAACTTTACATTACAAAAGATGGTAATAAATATATATGAAAAAGACTTTGCCCAAGGAATAACTAGTCAACTGGCCCTACCTGGGAAATTTTAAATAAGAAAAATAAAATAAGCATCAGATGATGAAGAAAAAAAAAAAAAAAAAAGATGCAAAGTGAAAGTGAAAGATAACTTACTTTTAAGTGTTCGTGACACCGTCTAGAGTAACTGCCACATTCTCTCAGTAAATTACAAATACCTACAATAAACATTAATTAAGTAAACCAAAGTTGTTAGAAACTAATCTTGAAAAAATTCTTACACTTTTAAAGACTTTTCATAAATTGCTCTCAATTGTTCTTTGTTCATTGATGGACTGTAAATGTTAAGCGAAGTTGTTATTAAGTGGGCCAATTTAAACTTTATTCATTTAAAACTTATTATCTAATTAAGAAAAGAACGATTAATGTAAATTTTATAAATTTGATGAAGAAGAGATGAATAAGGAAAGTCTTAAAAAACCAATTTATATCATTGTTATAAAGAGAGAAAATAAAACTTAATTTTAACTAACCTCGTAATCAACTTATTTTAACTTTACTTCCAAAGGAAGGGTTCAAGGACATTCTTCGTGTTGGGATGGTCCCATTCCAGTGAATTCCAGCGTTCTTTTGGACCAACTATGAGCCTTTCGAGGGAAGCGGGTCGAAATGGCTGTCCATTGTCAGGTTGCGGAAATAAGGGAGAGATCGTCTTCAGCTTTGGACATCCCTCTATATAAATGCTTCTAAGGGAATCACAATGGATTGCGTAACAACTCTTACAGAAGCTCCTTAATTCCGGTAGATATTGCAAAAAGATAGATCTTAAATTTGGAAGAGAGAGTTTGATAGAATTCTTACTTGCTTCCTTACCTTCTTCTTCATCACTTGATGCTATTACTATTTCCACAAGTCCTAAGCACTGCGTAACATGAATATCTTCCAAGTTTTGTAGGTTTCGCAGCAACTTAGGCGGGAACAGTCTCTTCAATTTTGGACAACCCTCTATCGAAACTTTTTTAAGACAAAAGAAGATTCCAGGTGTTATTGGTGTTGGTAATGCGGATCTAGCTCCGTCTATTTCTTCTCCAAGAATTGAAATTAAATTATCCAATTTATGAAGGGCTAGATACTGAAGGGTCTGAAGAGCAGTTCTGTAAGAGGACAAATAATAGAAGCACTCTATCTGTTTGCACGAATGAATCCAGCAGGTCCTCCAGTCAGTTGCATCTTTTAAAGAAGAAATATCGCTTACCCTTCTCAAATCATCACAGCGTTGAATGACTAGCTTCTTAATGTCCGTCGGTATCTTAATGGAGTCTCCAAAGTTTGTCAATCCACGAATTCCTACCGCTTTTTCCCTTCTTCCTTCTAGAATATAATCTCCCATTCCTACAGAATTAAAAGAATAGTAATTGAGGCATCTTTGTTGTTTTAGAGAAAAGTAGATGTGGTATTCTTGCAGATTTCTGAAACGAATACCCAAGCATTCCAACTTGCTCAATCTTGAAACTTCTTCTACTTCTGCAACTGCATTATCTAACCTCAAGTATTGAAGACGGAAGAGTTTTGGTAATATTCCACCAGGCATCTCTTTTATACCGTTTGCATAAAGATCAAGATATCTGAGATGTACCAACATCTCTAGTCCGTCAGGAATGGCTGTAATACTCGTCTGACCAAGATCCAACTTCTTCAGAGCCCCAAGTTTTGCCAAAGAAGGCACATAGAGGAAATTTACAATTGCAGTTGATCTGATAAACAATGGATAAAATGCTTTGACTCGTTAACTACACAAGACCAAATTGGCAAATTTTCAAAGAATACTAATTGCTCAAAAACAGTGAAAGAAAATGAAATTTGTTGGCGCGTCATTGCATTTCTTCCTTTACTTTCTCCAAAAACTTACATGTAATTATAACTAGGTAAGTAATCAAATTCTCATAACAAAGCGTTGTTGTTGACTTGGATCTTTTTGTTGAAAATTAATCAATGGATTTCTTCTAATGCGCCGAAATTTTCCTTGGAATTCTGATAGTCCTGCTAATACCATGGTTGAAAAAACAATGTTTTTTGAAATTTTATTGTTCTTTTCCTTGAATGGAAAGCTTAGGATTATTGGATTATACGTTCTCTCTTGATAGAATAGGCAAAGCTATTTGACAAATTTTCAGGTGATTGATGGAGCATATGACTGGACAAGACTCAATTGCACTGAACAAGCCATTCTGACGGACAGCAGTCTTGAAAAGAACAGCGGTTATAGTGTTCCTTTGGAAATAAAGTCATCTGGGCAATTTGAACCCTTGTACAAAACAACCTTAAGTGTGCAGGTGCATCATCTATTATAGCTAGAATTTGCTTAATAACTTTTCTACATTAACTGTTCTCAATCGATTATTTTTGCTTGAAAGGATGGGGAATTGCCTGTTCTTCCACTATCAGTTTATGGAGCTGTTGCTATGGCACATAGGTCTCTAAGGAGTACTCGGCACCATATCAGTTTTTCTTCTATCTATATGATAAAAGAAATGTGAGTGATTGCAGCTCTTTGTTAAAACCCGTATTAGCACTCAATTTTTATTTTATTTTTTATTTTTTATTTTTTTTATTTTTTTTGTTAATGCAGAATGAAATTGGTGAATAGAAGCCTAATTTTATTAATTGTATCATACACTTTGTCTTATAATTATCCTTCTTTTTTTCCATGCTCTTGGATTTCCATCTATCCAAGTTCTGACTTATATTGTTGTTTACTTCTTCTGTAGGCTGGCTTAGGGGGGCTATCTTTTGATGAGGGGCAATTTTCAGTCTTTCGGTAACATCTTTAATATGTTTATCTAGAATGCCATAAGTTTTTATTTCAATATTTTGGTATGGAAGAATATTTATGCTTGTCTTGTGTCCTATTTTGATACACAGATACACAATAGTTGAGAGAGAAATTCTACCACAGATAAAAATAAGGGATGTGATTCACTCGGCAAAGCTGATTCAAGGTCAAGATTGCCTTGTTTTGTCAAATGAGAGTTGATATGTTCTGTGACAAAATTAAGTTTCATCTTCCATTCCATTTTTGTTTTTTTGTTTTTTTTTTTTTGGTTTTTTTTTTTTTAAATTTGTATTGATATTCTTGGTGCCAGCTGTGTTGTTAGATTAAACGTTATTTGTATTCGGTGACCATCTTTTGCTATTGCAATATGACTCCAAACACTTTCAATGATAAAACCTTCACACTTTCAATGTCACATCATGATATAAAAGAGTGGTATAAATGTAGTATTACTTTTTGTTTCTTGATAATACAGTGAATTAAGGAAAACACGCATACTTGTTTCTTTATAGTACTGTCTAGAATAATGGCCACAATTTCTCAGTGAATTACAAATAGCTACAATAAACATTAATTCAGTAAGTAAACCAAAGTTGTTCAAAAATAATCATGCAAAAATTCTTACACTTCTAAAGACTTTTCATAAATTACTCTTAATTGTTCTTTGTTTATTGATGAACTGTAAAAATGTTAAGACAAATTTGTTATTAAGTAACTTAATTCATTAAAAACTTATTATCTTAATGTAAATTTTACAAATTCAATGAAGAAGGCATGAAGAAGCAAAGTCTTAAAAAAACCCATTTAAATCATTGTTATAAAGAGAGAAAATTAAAACTTAATTTTAACTGACCTTGTAATCAACTTATTTTAACTTGACTACTGGGGGAAGCGTTCAAGGACATTCTTCGTGTTGGGATGGTCCCATTCCAGTGAATTCCAGCATTCTATTGGATAAACTGTGAGATTTTCAAGGGAGGCGGGAGGAAATGGCTGCCCATTGTCAGGTTGCGGAAATAAGGGAGAGATCGTCTTCAGCTTAGGACATCGGACTATACAAATGCTTCTAAGGGAATCACAATGGATTGCGTAACAACTCTTACAGAAGCTCCTTAAGTCCGGTAGATCACACAAAGTGATAGATCTTAAATTTGGAAGAGAGGGTTTGAAAGAATTCTTACTTGCTTCCTTATCTTCTTCTTCTTCATCACTTGATGCTTCTACTATTTCCACAAGTCCTGAGCACCACGAAACTTCAATTTCTTCTAAGTTTTGTAGGTTTCGCAGCAACTTAGGTGGGAACAGTCTCTTCAATTTTGGACAACCATCTATCGAAACTTTTTTAAGAAGAGAAGATTCCAGTTTGTCAGTCCACCAATTCCTACCACTTTTCCCCTTCTTCCTTTAATAAAAGAATAGTTGAGTCCTAGAGAATTAAAAGAATAGTAATTCTTGCAGATTTCTGAAACGAATACCCAAGCATTCTAACTTGCTCAATCTTGAAACTTCTTCTGCTTCTGCAACTGCATTATCTAACCTCAAGTATTGAAGACGGAGAAGTTTTGGTAATATTCCATCAGGCATCTCTCTTATTCCATCCATTAGAGTTGGTTCGGGGATTCCAACTTGCTCTAGAGATATTGGCTTCCACACATCATCTAAAATTAGCATGTATTTCTTTTTTCCTTTCAACATCTCTTGTAACACTGCAGCCCTCATTGTTATATCATTATGTTTCGACAAATCTTCCCCCAGTGCAGTTGCAATGTCTTGTTGCAATTTAACAATAACATACTCCTTGGATACGGTTGCCCAAATTACTTTACCAAACTTATTTCTTTCTTTCAAGAGCTGATTATGAATGTGCTTCGTGATGGTTGTTTTACCAACCCCTACCATCCCACAAACACCTATCTTGCGTACCTTATCACCCATCAAGTGTTTCAAAAAAAATTCTTTTACACTATCTTCACCTACCATTTCTAATGTTGGTAATGGCAATCCAATGTCATCAGGAGCATCAATTACCAAACCAGCAGGAAAAACACCTTGATCATAAACTCTTTTCACTTCTTGAATCTTTTCATCAACATGTTTTCCTCGCCAACCACGCAAAAAATAGTTGCCTTTTCTGAATTTATCTTCAATTCTCTTTGTCTCCTAGAAGATCTTTTCTGCTTTTCTCAACCAACTTTCCACTTCTTTGTTTGTTACTTTATGATAACGAAGCTCCCCATTCAATCTTTGTTGTATAGTTTCCATGCGGTTACTAAGATCCTGTCTCTCCCTTTCCAGAGTACTCAAGAATTCATTAAACTTTCTATGGTACTTCCAGTATCTACAACCGGGAGGAGCTATCCAGTTTATAACTTCAATAATTGCCGCAGGATCCGTTGACAATTCCCCTGCATTGTATTATATAAATGGTGATAAGGATTTATGTTTAGCAGCAGACCAAAAAATTTTTAATTATCACATCATTTATAAGCTATAATTTTTATCTTCTTTATCTATCCAATCTAAATGAAGTCTTAAGACAATCAAAATGAACAAAGAAATTAAATATAAATAAATTAAAAAAAGAAATTGACCAGACAATGACTTAGGCAATTTTGTATATGAATTTACAAATCTATAGGAAAAAATAATAATAATAAAGAAATAAGCTCCAACAATGACAAAATTTTAGAGCATTACTTTCCAAAATCTTATTTTATAAAACAAAATCAAACAATGAATTCTGTTTTCAAGTTTCAAGTACTGGTGACTTGTCATGTTTACCAAACTAGTTATACCTTTATCCTCTCATAATGCTGTTAACTTGTCATGTTTAGGGCCAAAACCAATAATTTATTTTTGAGAGAGCTGAAAAAAATGATTGAAATAATATTGTCTTATACTCGAATTTTGAATGTAAGTTTAATAGTACGAAAATATTTTGTTAATTAATGATACAAATAATGGTTGTCTAATAATATATGAGAGAGAACAAGATCAACAACCTCTTAAAATAATAATCCATATATTATTAGACAACCATTATTTGTATCATTCTTATTTAATTAACTGGTTGGAGCTCCTTATGCTTTGTTTTTGTTCTTCTGAAATTTGTTTGTTTTCAATGTATTATCAACTACTTTTAAGTTGTAATTTTGGTTTGATTGAATTTTATTCCCACTATCTCTATATGTTACTGTTTGTTGTGGATGTGAGAAAAGTAGTTTAAGGGCAGTTGAGCTTAAGTGATGGTGTCTATATTTATATTTTGTTAATTGATGTTGTATAGTATAGTGAGTTATTAGAATATAGTGAAGGGGTGAGTAGATTACTGGACATATAATGGCACCTTTATTGTATCTAAGATTTTTCAAGAAGTAATATTAATAATTATCAATTAATTTAGCACAATAGTATAAACTTCATCAATTGTGAAGGAAGCAAGTATTCGTTGAGATATCATGCAACATTCATGCTTTTATTATTTCAACATAATAATTTCAATGTATGTTGATATTACAATTTTATTATTATTTATTTTTTTAATGTAGACTAAATAACATACTGGTATTCAAGAATGCATAGAAATGATGACTTAGAACTGTTTTTTTTCCCCCTCAATTTTCTGGTATTTTATTTTTAAGGTTTATGTTATATTTCCAAGTTTATTTACACAAAAAAAATCATATAGTTACTTAGTGAGTAGTGTGGACTAATTCTTCCATATTTAAACCTGAAAATATTTTTCAGATCAATTTTTTACTTTTAATAATTGTTGAGAATGTGACTAAATACATCACTTTTATTTCATTTATCTCTATGAAACAATCTCAGTGATTAAATGACATAAATCATAATTATGAATATTTAAAAAATGAAAGCTGAAATACAGGTTGAAATAAGTTAGAAAGGGGCATTACTTTGGTAGTGCTGCTATATGAAACTTTTGAAGATTGGTTGAGTGTATTGAATTTGGAGTATTTGATTGTGGTGGTGTAACTGTAAAATATTAAAACTGTAAAAATTGTGGGGTTGGTAGGATGTGGGTCCAATATTTTGGGCCTTTTTAGATCAACCCATTGGATCTGTATCCGTTTGGACCCGAACCGTATCTAGCCCACACCGTTTTGCTAGGTCTAGTACTAACTCAACAACGAACACCTAAAACTCCACCAATTATAAATAATAATCTTCTTATCATTGTTATTCAAAAAACCATTTGGAATAATAATAATAACATCTATAAGAACAAACATAAACTTTATTCACTATGCAAACTCCCCAAACAGGAAGAATTCACATAAAGGAAAACGATGTTCGCAAATGAAAGCATTTAAAGAAAACCCCAATCATACAATCTGGGCCACATTACTTATAGATCAGCCCATTATAGAATAAGACCAAAAAACCATATCAACATAATTTTGAGCCTAATCAATAATAAGTCAGTCCACTTAACAATTAAAACCCCTTCACTCAGTTAGCCCATCAATATAAATCCACCAATTCAATTAAGCCTACCAATTAATAAACAAAACCGAATAACACAACAATCAACTGGGCCTCAATAAAACAGCCGGCCCTTTTAAACCATAAAACTCAACAACCCAACTATTTTAATTAACCAAACACCGTTAAGTCCATTTACTTAAATCCAAACACCATTAAGGACGATTATTTCAATTAAATCCAAACACCATTGGACCCAATTACTTCTATCGAACCCAAACACCAATTTAATTAAATCTAAATCGCAAGTCTTATATCCTTCAATATCCATCCATTCATGGAGTCCATAAACATATTAAAATACATATATAAATAAAAGAACTTTCTTTATTATAACAATTCCACCAACAAAGGAGTCAACTTGGGAATTTATAAACAAGCCAAACATTTGTCTCTCACCCATTCTTTCCAGTTCCATAAAGACAACCACAGCAGACCAACGCCCAAAAATTTCACCCAACAAGCAAGCTTTCCATTCTTTAATTAACCAATTCTTATTTCCCACTCAAAACAGAATGGGTGTTCGATACATTATCTGAAAAATGTTATTCTGAAAAAGTATTTTAAGTTGAGTTAAGTTGAATTAAATCGATTTAGATCATATTATGAAAATGATAAAATATTTGAAAGGTAACTCAGAGTTTGATAAAATGCTAAATAGTTGTTTGATATATATTTTTAAAATAAAATAGTTGTTTGATACATTTTTTGAAAATATTTAAGATTATTGTTTTAACCCCTACATTTTTTAATTTAGCGAAATAATCCCACAATCAAAATTCTGGCCGTAGATCTGGCCATTTTCAACTAAGTCCATGATAGATCTGGCCAAAAACGGTCAAATCGGCGTACAATCGGTCGGATCTGACTGGTTGTGTGCTGTTCCAACTACGTACATAAGAATTTAACAAGATATATAAATACTTATATATACATACCAATTTAACTCCATATATATAAGAAAGAGAACCAAAATAAACCCATCAAAATAAAGACAAATAACAAGCATTTTTTAGATAACAACTTTCCCCAAACTAAAGCTCAACTCAGCCAAAACATGGAAAACATCTCACTCAGAACACAAACCCCACACTTCTAAAGTCGAACCGAAGCATAAAGAAAAGACAATTTTAAACTACTTCACAATTTTCTCAAATTTCATCAGAACATTAAATTAAAAATCATAACTTAACATGCAAAATAGAGATTTAAGCTTTTAGGGGAAGATTCAGTTTGATCCACTCACCTCGCTAAGTCTTCTTCTTTCTTTCTCCCACTCTTCCTCTCGGCCGAACTCCCTTCTTCTTTTCCTTCTCTTCTCTTCTCCTTCTATTTTCTTTTCTTTTCTCTCCCACTTTTCTTTCTCTTCTTGTTGTCCTTTTTCCTTCTTTTCTGTTCTCTTCCCTTTTTCTTTCTCTTCTTGTCCCCCACTTATTTTGAACGAACACCGTTCATCAAAATATTTGGCAAATTTTCTCAGCCCCTCGTTTCATCTATTGCACTACACCCCCATAAAAGCTTCAATTTGTTATACTTTACCCCCAAAAATCAAAAACTAAAATTTGATAAAATTCCGTAAAAATACAAAGTATTACAACGCGATCCAAATAAGGTCGTGACAGTTGGTATAAGAGCAAGAAAGAAGGCATCGACACTATGGTATTCCCTTCTAAACGACCTTGGCCAAAGATGTCTCTTGTAAGCTTGTGTAGAAAATGATGGGGTCCCTAAGACGCATGTTAAACACTGTGAGAGTGGAAAGTTGACATAGTGATGTATAACAAGTGATACTGAGAGCAGGCAACTTGAGAAGTCGAAGAAGCATGTGTGAGACACATGTTGGGCGTGCAACATGTGGGCATTGACAATAGTGCAGCATGGAAGTGAGTAGTGGTATCGTGTGCCATAGGCAGAACCATGTATCTTCCAAGGTGTCGTAATGGGTTGACATGATGCAGAGTCACGCCTAAAGGTAACTGGCGTCCCTTAAGCCATCAAGTAGTGCCACAAACTAAAAACTTTGACGACTGTCTTGCGGGCATTTGCAAGAATAATATGCACGAGGACGTGCATACAAATGGGTGTAGAAGGTAGAGTGTCAGGACCTTATTTCGCAACGTCGTGACAAGAGCGGCAAGGTGGAGATTATTGGGATAAGTGGCTCATTTTCCTAATTGTTTTCTTGTAAAATTGTTATTTCATTGGGAAGTTAATTTAATAAGGAATACAATTGTTATAAGAATGTGAATCATATTAGAAATGTAATTAGGAGGGTCCTATTAGAAATTGAAATATGAATTCTATTAGAAATAGAATATCACATATACTACCTATATATATAGGAGTGAGAACCAATTCAAAGTTACAAGAGGATGTGAGTATACAGGGTATTGGATATTGTGGTGTTATTTACTCTTGTATGTCTTGTTCATGAAAATATAGTGGATTTTTCTCATCCATGGATGTAGGCAGGTTATGTCGAACCACATTAAATATTGTGTTCTCTGTGTGTGTGTTTTCAGGCTTACTTAGAGCCAATCACTATAGTTTAAGCTCTAAGGTTGTGCAATCCCAATAAGGTCGTAACAAGTGGTATCAGAGCAGAATAGAAGACGTCAATGCTACGGTGTTCCCTTCTAAAGGTAACCCATTGAAAGTGCATTGGGAAGGTCTCGAGCTTATAAAGGACCACATTAAAAGCGCTTTAGGGAGGTGTTGGGCTTATAAATGAGAGACTTCCTCTACCTAATAGGATAGCCTAATATATATAACTTAATTTGAGATACTAATTTATAGTCATTGATAAATCACAATCCAACTATTGAAAATGTAATAAAATGGCACATAAAATAGCTATTTGTAACTTTTCATTCAACAATCGTAAAATTATTTCAAATCAAAGACTAAAAATTACATTTGGTTCACGAACCGAAGACCTATCTCCCCCCCCCCCCCCCCCCCCCCCCCCCCCCCCCCCCCCCCCCCCCCCCCCCCCCCCCCCCCCCCCCCCCCCCCCCCCCCCCCCCCCCCCCCCCCCCCCCCCCCCCCCCCCCCCCCCCCCCCCCCCCCCCCCCCCCCCCCCCCCCCCCCCCCCCCCCCCCCCCCCCCCCCCCCCCCCCCCCCCCCCCCCCCCCCCCCCCCCCCCCCCCCCCCCCCCCCCCCCCCCCCCCCCCCCCCCCCCCCCCCCCCCCCCNCCACACACACACACACACACGTACGTACGTCTGCGCACACAAGCACAAGCACACGCGCACATATACACACACACA